TGTTTGGTTGCCATGTCCCTGGGTCATGTAATGTAGATTTATAAAGCCCTAGTAAGACCACACCTGGAATACTGCAGCCAGTTTTGGTCACCATATCACAAACAAGATGTTGAGAGTTTGGAAAAAAATTCAGAGAAGAGCAACTAAGGTGATCCAAGGCCTGGAGACCAAAACATACGAAGAACGGCTGCGGGACTTGGCTTTGGCTAGTCTAAGGAAAAGAAGAAATAGGAGTGACACAATAGCAGTATTCCGGTATTTGAGGGGCTGGCACAAAGAAGAGGGGGTCACGTTATTCTCCAAAGCACCTGAGTGCAGGAAGAGAAACAATGGTTGGAAACTGATTGAAAAGCAACCTGGAATTAAGGAGAAACTTCCTGACAGTGAGGACAATCAACCAGTGGAACAGCTTGCCACCAGAAATCCGTTGCTTCTTCTCCTGCCTTCAGGTGCTTTGGAGAACAGCTTGACCTTCTTCTTTGCAACCTTCCTTCTGCATCCCCCTTTCCCCTTTTTGGCCCTCTTAATAAACCGGGGAGGGGGAAGGGGGTCTAAGACCCCAGGCTAAATGCCCCCCTCCCTCCGGTGTAGCCAGCCAGTCCCGGGGCCCAGCCTCTTCTTCCTCGCCTCACCTGACCCACACCTGGCCAACCGGCCCGGCAAGGAAGCCTGGAGGGCGGCGGGCGCCGGCTTGGCGACCCCGGGACGCGGGCTGCCTCTCCTCCGTCTCCGAGGCGCGAGCGGGCGGGGGTCTCGCCCAGGATGGAAGCTGCTCAGCCGGCGGGGCTAAAATTAGCGCGGCGCAGCTGTCCCGTCCCGTCTTGTGTCGCCTCCGGGCTGGCCGCCCTCGACGGCTCTGCGCTCCGGCCGGCCGGACAGGGAGCGGGGCGGGCGCGGGGGCCAGGCGAGCGCTCGTCCGAGCCGGTCCCGGCCACCTCACAGAGGCCGGGCTGCGACACAGCCGGACCGGCCGTCGGTGGCTCCCCGGGAGACGCTCCGTCGGGGGACACGGCGACCCGTCCGCCGGGCACTACCAGCTCGTGAGTATCGCCTGCCGCCGGGCGGGCCGGGGGCTCCTCTCCAGCCTCCCCTAGTGGGGGGGCTTCTGCTCGACCTGGAGGGCGCGGGGGGGATTCACACGTGCGCGCCTCCGGACTGTCAGGTTCCGAGCTGGGTTTGGTCGGCGATACCGGGAGACGCCTGGGTTGGAGGGAAGGGCTGGGGAAGGGGCTTAAAAGGGACCCCCCCCAAACTGGCTGCCCTGAAAAAGGGGAGCAGCAGCCTGGCTCAAGCCATTGCACCCCAACGCGCAAGCCTTTGAGGGCTTCGCACCACACCCTTGACCTGGGTTTTGAGTTTATCCGACTGTCTGGGTTCACCCAAATAGGTCGAATCATCAGATTAGCCGGAAAGGGGGGGTTCCTCCCCACGCACTGTGCCCGAAACCTCCATTGAAGGTAATACTAGCCAAGTCTAACTGGTGTGAATGCATTTATTGCATTTGGGGGGGATTGTCTAAACAGAAATTTCTTTTCGCTCTTTAAGTTTCTGAGAAGAGTCCTTCTGGTTGTTTTAGGCCAGCCAGCCTTGCAAAGCGTTGGTCCTCGCCCACCTGAAGTAGTGGGTGGGCTTTTTTTTCAGCCAATTTGGGATTCTCAAAAATCTCAGAATCAGAATAGAGCTGGAAGGGACCTTAGACCCTCTACTGTTTCAGATAGGTGGCTGTCCAGTCTCTCTTTAAAAGCCTCCAATGATGGAGCACCCACAGCTTCTGAAGGCAAGCCGTTCCTCTGGTTGATTGTTCTTACTATTAGGAGATTTCTCCTTAGTTCTTAGTTGGTTTTCTCCTCGATTAGTTTCCATCCTTTGCTTCTTGTCCTGCCTTCAGGTGCTTTGGAGAATAGACTGACGCTCCTCTTCTTTGTGGCAGCCCCTCAAATACTGGAATACAACTATCATGTCCCCCCCCCCCCAGTCCTTCTTTTCAACAGACTAGACCAGGGGTAGGCAACCCCGGCTCTTTTATGACTCGTGGACTTCAACTCCCAGAATTCCTGAGCCAGCCATACTCAGGAATTCTGGGAGTTGAAGTCCATGAGTCATAAAAGAGCCGAGGTTGCCTACCCCTGGACTAGACATCCCCAATTCCTGCAACCGTTCTTCCTATGTTTTAGCCTCCAATCCCCTAATCATCTTTCTTGCTCTTCTCTGCATTCTTTCCAAAGTATCAACATTCCAGTTTTATAATATAACCAAAACAAATGTGGTTTTATTAAGGTTTTATAAAGCAGTATTAATACTTCACATGATCTGGACTCTAGCCCACTGTCTATGCAATGAACGATTGCATTGGCTTTGTAATAATAGTAGTAATAATAATAATAATAATAATAATGATGATGATGATGATGATGATGATGATGATGATGATGATGATGATGATGATGATGATGATAAAGTTGGAAGAGACCTTGGAGGTCATCTAGCCCAACCCCCTGCTCAGGCAGGAAACCCTATACCATTTCAGACAAATGGCTATCCAGTCTCTTCTTAAAAACCTCCAGTGTTGGCGCATTCACCGCTTCTGGAGGCAGGTTGTTCCACTGGTTAATTGTTCTCACTGTCAGGAAGTTTCTCCTTAGTTCTAGGTTGCTTCTCTTAAATATGTTGGCTCATATTTAAGTGATTGTCCACTAGGGCTTCAAGATCCCTCTCACTCAAGATCCCTACTGCTTTGGGGCCAGGTTTCACCTAACCCAGGGGTAGGCAACCTTGGCTCTTTTATGACTCATGGACTTCAACTCCCACAAATTCTAGGAGTTGAAGTCCAAGAGTCATAAAAGAGCCAAGGTTACCTACCCCTGACCTAACCTGTACTTGTGCGTTTGGTTTTTCTTGTCTACGTTTCCTCTGTTGTTCCTCCGAAAGTTTGAAGCAAGGACATTTACTGCTACACAACCTTTGGCTTCTATTTTGTGCCTCAGGACATCCTTGGATGTTTTGCCACATACAGGTAGTCCTTGACTTATGATCACAATTTGGACTGGAACTTCCGTTGCTAAGTTGGTTAAGTGAATTACGCCCAATTTTATGGTCTTTTTTTTGCCCTGGTCATTAACCAAATCTCTGCAGTCTTTAAGGGAAGTACATGATGGTTAAGGGAATCCAGCTGCCCCCATTGACTTGCTTGTCAGAAACTGTCTGGGAAGGCTGCAAATGGGGATCACAGGACTCCAGAAGGCTGCAACCATCACCAGTTCTTGCAGGGATGCTGCAATGGTTGTAAATAATAATGATAAAGTTGGAAGGGATCTTGGAGGTCATCTAGTCCAACCCCCTGCTCAGGCAGGAAACCCTATAGCATTTCGAACAAATGGCTGTCCAGTCTCTTCTTAAAAACTTCCAGTGTTGGAACATTCACCGCTTCTGGAGGCAGGTTGTTCCACTGGTTAATTGTTCTAACTGTCAGGAAGTTTCTCCTGAGTTCTAGGTTGCTTCTCTCCTTGATTAGTTTCCATCCATTGCTTCTTGTCCTGCCTTTAGGTGCTTTGGAGAATAGCTTGACTCCCTCTTCTTTGTGGCAGCCCCTGAGATACTGGAAGACTCCTATCATGTCCCCCCCTTGTCCTTCTCTTCATTAAACTAGACATACCCAATTCCAGCAGCCTTTCCTTATATGCTTTGGCCTCCAGTCCCCTAATCATCTTTGGTTGTGTCATTTTTTTCATTGCTTTCACAACTAAATGAATGCAGGATCCAATCTGGGTTGGTGGCCGGGACCAGAGGTTGAGTCTTCTGAGCTTTCAAACACATGCTGGAGCCCATCCTCAGGGGACTTCTTCTAGCAGAATCTGTGCTTTGGGCTATTCTGTGTGTGGTATTTATGTGGTGCCTGTTGTGCATGTGTCACATTTTAGTTGTTGATTAGAGTGTTGTTGACTGGCTCTTAAGTTCATTGGCTGTTGTTTCTTTGTGCTGCCAAGCCCTCGCCTCCTAAGTATTTGATAAGCTGGTGGTAAATGAACACTCCTGTTTGACTGAAGAGGGGTCCGTTTCTCAGGCTTCCATCACTTCCTTGGCTGTTTTTGTACCTGCTCGTCTGACAATCTTAGTAGCTGCAAAATTGAATGTATGAAAATACTCTGGTATTTTCTTTATTTTGTAGGCAAGTGCTAGGGAAGCCACCTGAAATACATTTATTTATTCATTCATTCATTCATCCAGGCTCTAGAACAGTGGTGGCGAACCTATGGCACGCGTGCCAGAGGCGGCACTCAGAGCTCTCTCTCTGGGCACGCACGCTGCTGCTGCCAGCAGCTTGCGCAGGTCCATTAGGCTGCCACTGCCACCCGGAGCGGCAGCCCCACCCACCACAAAGGAGGCGAAGAGGCCAGCTAGCAAGCTTGAGTAGAGGTGGTAGAGCCCGCCCACACCCAGCAAGCCAAAGGCCATCCCGAGCAGGGAAATCCGGATCCCCATCGGCGCCATGGCCCCCCAGTCCCAGCTAGGATTGTGGGCCTCCCCCATCTATGCTGGGCCTCCTGCCCACCACCCCACCTGCCAGAGACCCCCTGGATCTCCCCCAACCCTGTCTGGCCCCCACAGGCTTCCCCCCCGTGAGCAACATCGAGGTGGCCATGCCCACCCCAGCCATGTTTACCCAGTCTGCCGTGACAACTGCTGCCATGCCCACCCAGTGAGCCATTCCCCCATGCCTCCCCTTGAGGGCACCACAATGCTGATGCGGCTCTGGCACTTTGCGATAAATAAGTGGGTTTTGGGTTGTGGTTTGGGCACTTGGTCTCTAAAAGGTTCTCCATCACTGCTCTAGAAACTGCATTGTGTTTGCATGTAAATAGCATATGCTGGATTTGCTACTTGTGAACCAACTGGGCCCCACCAAGAGATGCACTGACCCAGGTTGCAAATACTACGCTTTATCCAAAATCGTTAACCCAGCCCCTGTCTGACTTCTAGCTTCCAACACTGCACCATTCACGATGAAAGTCCCCCTCAAGAGACATTTCAAGATGAGCCTGCTGGACATCACCAAGATGTTCTCCCTGTTCCAGCCCAGCGAAGATGAAGACGGGGACAGAGAAAGACAAGAGCTGAGTCTCGCCGTGTCCCAGGACAGCTACCAGCTGTTGGACCAACTGTTGCACCAAGAGAGATACAAACGGGTCATCAACAGTCGGAGCGGTTGGGGGGTGCCAGGCACTCCCCTGCGCCTAGCGGCCTCCAAGGGCCACGTCAGGTGCGTCAAGGTGCTCCTGGACCACGGAGCCGAAGTGGACAGCTTAGACGTCAAAGCACAGACGCCGCTGTTCATTGCCGTCAACAACGGGCACCTTGACTGTGTGAAGGTCCTCTTGGAGGCAGGGGCCTGTCCTTCCGGGAGCATTCACAACAACTGCACCCCGCTGCTTACGGCTGCGCGAGAGGGAGCCCTCGCGATCCTGCAGGAGCTGCTGTCACACGGGGCAGAGCCTAACGTCAAACCCCGAATCCCGGAGTGGGCGACCAACTCCGTATCCTGCTGCGGACCTTTGTATTTGTCTGCCGTCTACGGTCATCTGGAGTGCTTCAAGACCCTCTTGCTGTACGGGGCTGAGCCCAACTACAACTGCTCGGATAGGAACATGATTGCCCGAATTAAACACCCCAAGACTCTCCTGGAAGTCTGCTTGAAGCACGGCTGCAGGACAGAGTTTGTCAAGCTCCTCGTTGATTTTGGTGCCAATGTCTACTTGCCTGGTATCACGTTGGAGAAGAGCTCAGCAAACCCTGAAGTGCTTGAGCTGTTGGCCAGAGAAAGAGGTAACTTGTGTGTGTGTGTGTGTTTTAAAATTATTTAATGTAACACAAGGCTATGCAAAGTATTAAAATCTCCGTCCTCTCTTCTCTCTTCTCCCTTCTCTCTTTTTCTCCCTTCTCCCTTCTCCTCCCTTCTCTCTTCTCTCTTCTCCATTCTCTCTTCTCCCTTCTCTCTTCCTCTCTTCTCCCTTTTCCCTTCTCTTTTCTCTCTTCTCTTTTTCTCCCTTCTTCTCCTCTCTTCTCCCTTCTCCCTTCTCCCTTCTCCCTTCTCTCTTCTCTCTTCTCCCTTCTCCCTTCTCCCTTCTCTCTTCTCCCTTTTCCCTTCTCTCTTCTCTCTTCTCTCTTCTTCTCCCTTCTCCCTTCTCCTCCCTTCTCTCTTCTCTCTTCTCCCTTCTCTCTTCTTCTCCCTTCTCCCTTCTTCTCCTCTCTTCTCTCTTCTCCCTTCTCTCTTCTCCCTTCTCTCTTCTCCCTTTTCCCTTCTCTCTTCTCCCTTTTCCCTTCTTTCTTCTCCCTTCTCCCTTTTCTCTTCTCTCTTCTCCCTTCTCTCTTTTTCTCCCTTCTCCCTTCTCCTCCCTTCTCTCTTCTCTCTTCTCCCTTCTCTCTTCTCCCTTCTCTCTTCTCCCTTCTCCCTTCTCTCTTCTCTCTTCTTCTACCTTCTCCCTTCTCCTCCCTTCTCTCTTCTCCATTCTCTCTTCTTCCTTCTCCCTTCTTCCTTCTCTCTTCTCTCTTCTCCATTTTCTCTTCTCTCTTCTTATCCCTTCTCCCTTCTCCTCCCTTCTCTCTTCTCTCTTCTCCATTCTCTCTTCTCTCTTCTCCCTTTTCCCTTCTCTCTTCTCCCTTCTCCCTTCTTCCTTCTCCCTTCTCTCTTCTCTCTTCTCTCTTCTCCATTCTCTCTTCTCTCTTCTTCTCCCTTCTCCCTTCTCCTCCCTTCTCTCTTCCCTCTTCTCCATTCTCTCTTCTTCTCCCTTCTTTCTTCTCCTCTCTTCTCTCTTCTCTCTTCTCCATTCTCTCTTCTCTCTTCTCTCTTCTCTCTTCTCCCTTCTCTCTTTTTCTCCCTTCTCCCTTCTCCTCCCTTCTCTCTTCTCTCTTCTCCCTTCTCTCTTCTCCCTTTTCCCTTCTCTCTTCTCCCTTTTCCCTTCTCTCTTCTCCCTTCTCCCTTTTCTCTTCTCTCTTCTCCCTTCTCTCTTTTTCTCCCTTCTCCCTTCTCCTCCCTTCTCTCTTCTCTCTTCTCCCTTCTCTCTTCTCCCTTCTCCCTTCTCCCTTCTCCCTTCTCTCTTCTCTCTTCTCTCTTCTCTCTTCTCCCTTCTCCCTTCTCTCGTCTCTCTCCTTCCTTCCTTCCTCCTTTCCTTTGAAGTTCCCTAAATGCTCTTCTAATCTTGGCAGCACCCTACTCTCAGCTCTTCTTCCTTTTTGCAGGGAAATATATATTCTTTCCTAGCTACCTTGGAGGCTCCATGCTAGCCCCACATGATCTGGTTTTTTCCTTCCTTCCTTCCTTCCTTCCTTCCTTCCTTCCTTCCTTCCTTCCTTCCTTCCTTCCTTCCTTCCTTCCTTCCTTCCTTCCTTCCTTCCCCTTTCCACAGATTACCTATCACATTATTTGTTTCTAAAGTAAGCAATGCTACACAACGTGCATAAAATGAATACAAAACAGTCACCCAAAGCAAAAGTCACCCATGCACATATAGCTACCTCCACATTCACAACAAGAGCATTCCCTATCCCTTTCCATACTTTTCTGGGTGGGTTGTGCACAAAACAAAAAACTGGTGTTCTTTACAGCCTGGATGGAATTGACCAACCCTTTCTAAAAATTCTACCACAGGGTTTTGCATCAGTCCACAGCACAGGAGTAACAAAATTATGACCGTTTGTCCCAACGATGCTTTTCAAAAGGCAGAAGCCGAAGAAGCTTCTTGGGTGAGAAGCGAAAAACCTTTTCAAGGAAAAAAAAAGCAAGAAAGTCCAGTTGACTTTTTGGAAAAGCACCTTTGGGAGAACCATGACCTGGATAATGGAGAATCTCCATAGGCATTATGAATATTGGTTGCTCTGAATTCCAGGTGAATAAACTTCTGGGTGTCCTGGGATGAATTTTAAGGGTTGGTAGAACAAGGGTGGTGCACAATTTTTTCTTGTTCCCCTCTCCCCTCCCGCTCATCCTAGATCAGGGGTGTCAAACTCAATTTCATTGAGGGCCGCATCAGCATTGCGGTTGCTCTGGGGGGGGGTGCAGGAGGGTGCGGCCTACTGGGTGGGTGTGGATGGAATGGGTGTGGCCTACTGGGTGGGCGTGGCCAGCTCTACATCGTTCGCGTCAAGGGTGCCTGTGGGGGCCTGGGCAGGAGTGGGACAGATCTGAGGGTCTCTGGCAGAAGGGGGTGGGACCAGGGTAGAGCCCATCAAGCCGGATATGTGAAGTAGGCGAGGGCCATTTGATGGCCATTTCCAGGCGATGGTCCATTTCTTCATTCCTCACAAAGGGTGACACCTCCCCAGCATGCACCCAGGGGGTGGGGCCGATGCGGCAGCGGCTGGTTCCTCGCTGTTTCCAGATGGCCTTGTGGAGCTAAGACTGAATGCATTTCAGCGTAGATGGCCACCAGAACATTGTACATTGGTTCCTTGCTCACCTGGGCCAGGGCCAAGGCAGTGGGGGCCGTTCCCTTGCTGTTTCCAGGATGGCTTTGCAGGCCACATGAAACCACTTCATGGGCCGCATCCGGCCCCGGGCCTTGTGTTTGACATGTCTGTCCTAGATCTTCCAATGCTATCCATGGTCACTCTTCTCCCCTTCCCTTTTCATCTCCAGTTTCTTTGATTATTTTGCATATTCCCCCCCCCCAGAAACCAATTCTGCCTGGAACAGCTCTATTTCAGTCCATACCCAGAACAGAATAGCTAGATTTCACGCTGTGCACAGATCAAAAAACCACAAAGCATGTGTGTCTCTTTCTTCTTCATTTCTATGACGTGATGACCTTGAAGGCATCCCAGGGAGTGAAATCTTTAGCCGTGTTAACTATGCAATGATGATTACCGCCTCTCTCTCCTCCCTCCTGCTGTTCCAGCATTCCCAAAATCCTTGATGTCTCAGTGCAGACTGGCAATCAGAAGGTTTATGAAGCTGGAGAACCATCCCGAAGCCGTGGACCAACTGGACATCCCGCTAGTGCTGCTCAACTACCTCAAACACCAAGTGTAACGGAAGATCAACGCCGAATTGCCCAGGGTTACCAAGTACTGTAACTGGATAAGGAAAAAAGAAAGAAAAAAGGACACTTCTAAGAATTGGAACGCACGTGTCTGGTGTGGTGTGCTTGGATGCATTTGATGGGGCGGGTGAAAAATAATGCAGTAGCTTAAACAGAGTTTCCCAATTTGGGGAATCTTAAGAAGTATGGACTTCAACTCCCAGAATTCCCCCAGCCAGCATGCTGGCTGGGGGAATTCTGGGAATTGAAGTCCACCATTTTAACACCAACTTTATATTAATATTAACCAACTAAAACGGACAAGATAGATAGATAGATAGATAGATAGATAGATAGATAGATAGATAGATAGATAGATAGATAGATAGATAGATAGATAGATAGATAGATAGATAGATAGATAGATAGATATCACTCTCCTGGTGGATAGCTGGGAAGAATCAAGCTTTACCCTTGTGAGTTTTCTTTGAAGATCAAGCTCCGTTGCTCTCAGGAGGTTGACAAAAAGGCACACTTAATGTTTGACGAGATTGCTACTCACCCTAGAATGAATGGCAGCCCATCGCTCTTATTGGAAGGGGGGCGTTTTAGGGGGAGTTAAAACATTCTTTAGTTTTTAATTGTGACATTCCTATGTTTGGACCGAGCTACCGTTTTCATCTGTTTTTGTCAGGCTCTAAAACCCAAGAAAAACAGGTTATGGTTTTTCTAAACAGATCTGTAGGATGCAGAATAATAGAGTTGGAAGGGACTTTAGAGGTCTTCTAGTCCAGTGGTGGCGAACCTATGGCACGCGTGCCAGAGGCGGCACTCAGAGCCCTCTCTGTGGGCACGTGCGCTGTCGCTGCCAGCAGCTCGCACAGGTCCATTAGGCTGCCACCGCCGCCCAGAGTGGCAGCCCCACCCAGCACAAAGGAGGCGAAGTGGACAGCTAGCAAGCTCGAGTAGAGGTGGTAGAGCACGCCCACACCCAGCAAGCCAAAGGCCACCCCCAGCAGGGAAAGCCGGATCCTCATCGTCCCCCCAGTCCCAGCTAGGATTGCGTGCCTCCCCCCATCTATGCTGGGCCTCCTGCCCACCGCCCCACGCGCCAGAGATCCCCTGGATCTCCCCCAACCCTGCCCAGCCCCCACAGGCGTCCCCCCATGAGCAACATCGAGGTGGCCATGCCCACCCCAGCCATGCCCACTGCAGTGACAACTGCTGCCATGCCCATCTAGTGGGCCATGCCCCCATGCTCCCCCCTGAGGGCACCACAATGCTGATGCGGCTCTGACACTTTGCGATAAATAAGTGGGTTTTGCGTTGTGGTTTGGGCACTCGGTCTCTAAAAGGTTCTCCATCATTGTTCTAGTCCAGTGGTGGTGAACCTATGGCACGGGTGTCAGAGGCGGCACTCAGAGCCCTCTCTGTGGGCACAGGCACCGTCGCCCCAGTCCTAGGCCTTCAGCTGGGTTTTATAAAACCTTTTTGCTTTAGGCCTCCGCCGCCGTGTGCAAAAAAAAAAAAAAAAGGTTCAATCAATCAATTTCAACTTCTCATGGGAAAAAAAAATCTTGCAAAGTTGGAATTGATTGATTGAACTTTTTAGTCCCACCCAGTCTGCCGTTACCACCACAGCCACGCCCACCCAATGGGCCACACCCACCCGGCACCCGACGATGCATAAGTGGGTTTTGGGTTACAGTTTGGGCACTCGGTCTCTAAAAGGTTCGCCATCACTATTCTAGTCCAATCCCTTGTTCTAGCAGGAGATCCCGTACCGTTCTGGGCAAATGGATGTCCAAGGTCTTCTTGAAATCTTCCGGTGATGGAGCACCCGCAACTTCTGGAAGCGAGCTGTTCTTTCTTTCTTTCTTTCTTTCTTTCTTTCTTTCTTTCTTTCTTTCTTTCTTTCTTTCTTTCTTCCTTCCTTCCTTCCTTCCTTCCTTCCTTCCTTCCTTCCTTCCTTCCTTCCTTCCTTCTTTCTTTCTTTCTTTCTTTCTTTCTTTCTTTCTTTCTTTCTTTCTTTCTTTCTTTATTGTTCCTCACCTGCAGACAGAAATCTGGCCAAACTAGTCTTGTCCCATCTGGGGAATTCTGGGGGTTGAAGTCCACACACCTTAAAGTTGCCAAGGTTGAAAAACACCATATTTGCAAGTTCATCTGGTGGCACAGTATGCGAGTTTTAATCAATATCGCTTTTCTTTTGTTTAATAAGATAGGGAAATGCAAATATGGATTTAATGATTACTAGTGGAAGCTTTTTAAATTCTTTAGATAAAGGCTAATGTGATTTTTCAGAGCAAGCTCACCACATTTAATGCCAATGTTTTTCTCCTCTCCAGAATTCTGAAGCAAAATCGGATTTATTTTAAAGATTTATTTTGTATCATTTATATTCCATCATTAATTTACAACTGCAGAGTTTTCAGGGAAATTATTTTGCATGCTTGCAGCATAGTTCAGTTTAATCTGGGAAAAGAGGAAAAGAGAAGATTGCTTGTGCAAGGCACCTGCAACATCACAGCCACAATATTAATAAATGGGTGAATAAATGGCAGAATTAATTGCCTGGATTCATCTTAAAAGGCACAGATTTTTTTTTAAAATTCATCAGTGCTTTTCCCTGCTGGGACAATATCCAAGCTGGGCTAAACTGTTGCCTTGAGAACTATTTTGACAGACTTTTAATTATAATGTCTATTTTAATGATAAGCATTAATGCTTGTGAGATGAAATATGTTGTTGTTTTTTTAAAAAAGAATAGTACTAGTCATTTCCCACTAGGTGACAGTATTGAACTGAAAACATTACCTAGGTACCGTTATGCATTGTTGTTCTATAATTCTAACAGAAGGGGGCAGAAGAGGGCAGAAGAGGGCAATTGCACTGGCACTCTACTTTGGTGCTCCTGGAAGGCAGCAGATGGGTGCAATGATGGAGGTGGGATTATGTTGGATTTTGGTCCAAAGTGGTAGAGTTCTTCTTATGTTGACTTCTCTTTTGGCATTTTTATGCAGATCCTAGTCTTTTTGTAATGGAAGCCTTCCTCCTCCTCCTCCCTCCCTCTCTCCCTCCCTCCTCTCCTCCTCCTCCTCCTCCCTCCCTCCCTTCTCTCCCCTCCTCCTCTCTCTTCCTCCTCTTCCCCCTTCTCTCCCCTCCTTCCGCCTCCTTCCATCCTCCCTCCCTCCCTCCCTCCTCCTCCTCTCTCCCCCTCCTCTTCCTCCTCCTTCTCCCTTCTCTCCCCTCTTTCCTCCCTCCCTCCTCCCTTCTCTCCCCTCCTCTCTCTTCCTCCTCCCTCCCTCCCTTCTCTCCCCTCCTCCTCTCTCTTCCTCCTCTTCCCCCTTCTCTCCCCTCCTTCCGCCTCCTTCCATCCTCCCTCCCTCCCTCCTCCTCCTCCTCTCTCCCCTCCTTCTCTCTCCTTCTCCTCTTCCTCCTCCTTCTCCCTTCTCTCCCCTCTTTCCTCCCTCCCTCCTCCCTTCTCTCCCCTCCTCTCTCTTCCTCCTCCTCCTCCTCCCTCCCTCCTCCTTCTCCCCCTCCTTCTCTTCCTTCTCCAGTCCCTCTCTCCCCTTTCTCCTCCTCCTCCTCTCCCTTCCTCCCTCCCTCCTCTCCATCCTCCTCCTCCTCCTGCTGCTCTTCCTCCTCCTCCTCCTCTTTGGAAAAACAATTCTGAAGTACTACAATCTAATGCAGCTTTGTTTTGTTTTTTTAAAGAAAGCAATGGGCTGGTTTTAGAGCTCACACTGTCATTTTCCCATTGTTGGCAATGACGGTGCTGTTGAACCAGAGTTGGGGGGGCTGTGGAGAAGGACGTTTGGGGTCCCCATCTCTACTGGACAGTCTTAATCATTACGCCTCATCTCCCGCGTGTAAAAAAATTAGGCTTTACGGGAAATCCAACTGCCGATGTCCCTTGGGGAATTACCTTGGGTGTTTTGAAGCAGAGGGCAATACAGAAAGCATTTGCATTATTTATGAATCCCAAATCTAATTACAACGTCAGAAGACTGCGAACCCTGTTAACCGGCGTTTCCTAAGCCAGAGGCGGGCCGTCTCAGGGAAATGTTGAGCTCCACAATTTGGTTCTTCTTCCAAAACGGAGCTGGGGAAGCCCTTAGAAACGCAGAGCCGTGTTGTCTCAGGAAGGGCTTGGAGGCTGGATTAGTCAGAGATAGGTCTTTGGTGTTCTGTATTGATTCACAAATTCAGGGTGCTGGAAACCTTTCTTGACCCTGATCATCATCTAAATTGGTGAGTGGGTCAATGGAGAGCTGGGGTTTTTTTTGTTTTTTGTTTTGGCAGAAGTAACTGGTGACCTCAGAAGATAATTACTGAAGAAAGAGGAAGGGGAGGAGGAGGAGAGAGAGGGAGAGAGAGGGAGAAGGAGGATAACTGTGGGGTCCTTGGGGTCCTCTGAGTTTGGTTGTTTTCTTGCAGATGTTTCATTACCCAAACCAGGTAACATCGTGAGTGCTAGAAGGGAGAGGGGTGTGTGGAGAGGAGAAGGAGAAGGAGAAGGGGGCAGACTTATTTCTTGGCAAATTGTAGTATGATTGACCCAACCAATCAAGCAATAGCCATTTATCAGAAGGAACACTGTTGAGTTTGCTCCCCACCTTTCAGCGTTCCGGATTCCCCTGTCTTGGGCTGGGCAATGCTTTGAAGAGCTGCGTGAAGACAAGAGCTGGCCAAGACAGAAGCAAAGGGGCTGAGATTGGCTAGGCCAGTGGTGGCGAACCCATGGCATAGGTGCCAGAGGCGGCACGTGTACCATGCCCCGTGGGCATGTGTACCATGCCCCGGAGATGGCAACTGTCCCTCTTCAACCAGCCGCCTGCTAACTCGCCAAGGTCCCACGTGGCTGGATGCATCCTGGCACGGCTGGTTTCCCTCCCCCCGTCCCATCCCTCCTCGCCTTGCATGCTCTCCTTTTCCTGGGCACGACCCACTGCATCGCCTCCTCAGCTGTCAGCTGGCCATCTAGCTCAGAGGTGGCTTCTTTGAACTGCTGGCGGCGGGCTGTGGAGCCCCAGAGTGCACCGGTCGAGGGGCCGACAGGCTTTGGC